AGGAGGACCTTATGAAGTTACTGAAGCACAACAACAGTTAGGTTTCAGTTTTGGGAGCTCTCTGCCTCAAGCCCAATCCCTTGCTCAGAATATTGGCGTAACAGGAGGACCTTTTGGGGGTACTGCAGCTCAACAACAGTCAGATGTCAGTTCCAGGAGCTCTCTTTCTCAACTTCTCTCCCGTGCTGAGAAAATTAGCACAACAAGAGGACCTTTTGGAGGTACTGCAGCTCAACAGTCAGATGCCAGTTTCGGGGGCTCTCTGCCTCAAGCCCAAGTCCGTCAAGAAACTCTTCAAATCTCAGGTAGTGGTCCAATTGCATATGGAGCATTTGGTCTAAACTCATTGCCTGAAGCAGATGCTCCACCAGCACGTTTTTATTGTTCCACTGAAGAGGGTCAAGGTGCACCTATACCTCTTTTGAAGAAGAAGAGAATTTGCACAGTACAGTCAATCGATGAGAAGACTTTAGGCAAGAGACTCCCTCATGGTCCATCTCCAGTTCTACAGGGCGCGTGAGTCCCAATACATTTTTTTAGATATGCCTCAAATTAGAAAACCCTGGTTGTTATCCTTATGAAAAAGTGTTGCCAAAATAAACATAATGATGGCAAGGCTTTGGTTGACGAAATGAAAACAGACTAAATTTGTATGTGAAAGGTCCAGTGTGTAAGATTTAGGGGGATGCAGGGATATCTTGGCAGAAATGGAATATAATATGATAAGTTTGTTTAAGTGTATAATCACCTGAAAATAAGAATTATTGTGTTTCCTTACCTTAGAATGAGCCACTTATATCTACAGAGGAAGCCTTGGAGTCTGCCATGTTGCACCAACATTTTTCTTGATTAGCGCAGAATGGGTGAACCAAACGCTAGCTCTAGATGGGGCCATTTGCATTTTCATGTCGGGCACAGTAGTTAGCAGCCCTGCTGTGCCGAGCCGAAAGGCTTCTGAATAACACTGATTTTAACGTGAAACTGCTTTATTCAGTGTTTTTGCCCGTTTAAATCGCCTGGTCCATTTGTTTTGAAGAGGAAGAAAAACTTTTCAGATAATTCATGCTCAGCACCTTGGAGACGTTTCACATGGTTGCAATCTGCGATCCTCATTGCAGGATGCCACTAAATCCTACACACTGCTCCTTTAACTAAAAGTTATTTGCACATGTCCTCAGAAAATTTGCATCTGTGCACATGGATGGAAGAGGAGGGCAGCACACAAACCTGTTTATGTTTACATCACTGAATGTATGTTTTTTTAATACTTTTGTTTGTTTTTGTGTGAACATAGACCAGTGGAGATCTCAGACAGTGAAACATCAGCGAGACTGAGAGGAGTGAGAAGACTAATGCGCAGGTACATTTCACAATGCGAAAAAATGTTTAGTCTAGATGGTTATAACCATGTTCCCAATGTTTCTCCCCCTTCTCCTTTGAGTCTAAGAGTAAAAGTCCTCAGAAATGCCTCCAAAACAAGGAGTTGGTGGAAGTAGTCTGGGCTGCAGATACATGAAGCTACATTTCCTGTGATCTTGGCGTCTTTCCAGTATTTCCTCCTTATGTAGTTTGTTGAATTTAAATTCATTGGGGTGAAGCCATTGCATGGGTTACCAGTGATTTAGTGTTATGTTGTGATGTTCAATATGTGTCTGAGTTACTCTTGAGGGCTCAGCAGAATCAGTGAACTTCATTTCCTTTAAAAAAAATTGATGGATCTGTAGAAATGGGTAAAAACACTTTTCACCCAGCTCATAGAATACAGTTATACCATGCAGGATTTTTCTATAAAACAAAGTAGAGACTCATAGAGAGGTAATCCATCTCAATTATTGCCTATGACCACAACAAGTATGTATCCCCCCTGCCTGTTTTGTCTACTTATTGTCTTATTTTGGGTACGAAAAACGCAGACAAAGGGCCAAAGAACGCAAATAAAGCAAGGCAAAATGGCAAACGGACAAAGTTGTTGCAAAACAAGAATGACTCTGAGGTTGATTTTCACTTTTGCTAGCAATGTTTTCAAATGGTAACCTGCAAAGTACACCTTAAGGATCGTCATTTGTTTTTATTGTTTTTTATCCACCTTATTTCTAGCCTTTGATACCTTTATTATGGGTGCAACTTCCGGCATTGAACCGAAACCGGCAGTTTCTAGTTTGTTTACAGTACTCTATTCTTCTTTCCAAGAGCAATTGGGAAATAAAACATGTAACACACCACCTGTTATAGCTCAAACAGGATTATGTGATCACACCTCTGCCATCTCTGACGGCCATCTCAAAGCATTGTTTTTTTTTCCCCTTATCAACAGAGCACGCTCATAATTAGCTCGCCTGGCTCTATTAAAATATTGTTAACTTTAACATGGCCCGAGCTAGCTTAAGGTAAACATCTGCCACAGTTAACATAATTCAGTATTAACTGTAGCTCCATGTAAAGTGAATAAAGGTGATGTTTCCCAGCTAATCCTTCACTCGTCTGCATTAATGAAGCAGTTTACAGGGTTTTTTTTAACTTCTGGTTTATTAAAACTGTTCTGAGCAAAACATGAAGCTGAATTCAGACTTCAGTTATAGTAATATAAAGTAGTAGTAGTAAAAGAAATAACTTTTGACATTAATTTTTTAATATGATATAAAGGAGGTACGGTAAATCAGTGACACATTCTCAGCCCTAATGTTGCTGAGTTTAATTTCTAATGTAGGTTGAGAATGAAGTCAGACGGGGAAAGACAGGGACATCATGTACTGACATTGAGTGACGGACTTGTCAGTCTTCGTGTCATTCTCTCCTGCACAACAACAATCCCTTTTTGTTCTGGTTACATGTTTAACAAACAGTTGCTGAAGACAAAAATTTAGCTTAGACTGGTTGTTAGTCATTACAGACACGGACAGTGCAACAGGTACCAGAGCTACGTAAAGATATTTTAGAAAATGCGGAGTTAACATTAGTTAAATATTTGTTTAAAAAAAAATCAGTGTTTGCTAAACTGGAGGCAAATTACTTTTGAAAAGAACCAGTGTTGGCGGTTAGCCACTAAGAGTAGCCACTGGGACTAACCACAGACAGTCTATGGGGCTAACTAGCTTACTGCTACTTCCGCTATTTCACTGGAAGTTGCGCCCATAATCATTTCTACAGTAGTGCCCTCAGGAATAAGGTGAATAGAATTCATCATAGGTCAGGCAGCTCACAGTTAATCTCTGTGGATCTGGAATCTCTTTACCATTTCAGACCGTTTATCTTTGAAAAAGCATCCCATTGATTTTGGCACTGGAGTGCTTCATTAACTCTGCTGGGACTGCCCAGTGCTGACTGTGAGTGTAGAAGCAGATCAAGAGGAGCCGCCCTTCCCTCTCCTTTCCCTCTCTCCCTCTCAGACTAAATGCCGATTAGCAGTTAAACTAGGCAGTGCAGATCAAATTTAAACCAAGATTCTGTTACAGTATTGCCTATTTTTCGCCTAAAATGTCTTTAAAAACATATTTTAGTGCACTGTTTGGCTGTAAACCGAGTTCGTTAACAGCGACATAATGTTTCCTGTATTGTGAATAAAGAGCCTGGAAAAAATGAGATCAAACAGTAAATCTAAGCAGTACTGACCAAATATAAACCAAGATTCTGTCAGTAAGTTGTGTATTGCATGCCTAAAAGAAAGATATTTTAATGCGCCATTTAACTGTCATATAAGATCATTAGTTACCAGCCGGCCGCCATGTTGTTTCCGAAGTAGGGATGTGCCATATCATCTCGTTCACAGTATAATTTTTAATATCATTTGAAAAATTCATACCGTGGTACTCACGATATTTCAGGTTGTTGACATATTGACGTCATTCATTAAACCGGTAGGGTGGAGTGCATTCTGGTAGTTGTAGGTTTTCTACCTCTTGACCAAAAACAATGCCTCAGCCCTTTATCTTTGTTTTCTCTGGCCATGTAGTCAAAAGTATTTGCATCTTTCTACTAGGGCTGTACCCAAATATTCGGATATTTGAATATTCGTCTCTATGGGTAGGTATTCGTTATGAAAATTTGGTATTCGATATTCATTTTTTTATTTACTTTTTTTTTTTTTTTTAACATTTTTTTTTGGTGCTAAATGTAGTCTTTTTGTTGTTGGTAAATGTAGGTTATAAATAAAAATCAAAACTTTTAAATTGCATTGTTAAAAATGTGAAAATATAGTATCGCCTACCAACGGAGCTTGTGCACACGGCACGCTTGAGCGCATCCGTCTGAGGCTGTGGATCAATGCCAAGTTTTACCACTTTATCACTATTCCCTCTAACTTGTAGCTGTTTTTTCATTATCTTTTGAATTTAATATGAATTATGGAACTGTTTTTTTGTCAACGTTTGTTTCCCCCGTTTTGTACAATAAATTATTGTTTAAAGTTTCAACAAGTTTCTTTTGGAGTGCGTGATACAAGTGTGTTTTGAAAACGTCCGCTGACTGTCACCTGCTCAACGTATCAGTACCTTCGGATGCCATGATAGTAATAGCCAATAATGTCAAAATATCATTTACAGACCGATTTAACAGACGATCACTGCTGCCCGACCCGCGGGTCCATTTGCAGGTCCCACGGGTTACGGGTCGTCCCGCGCATCACTACTCAGCTCAGTCTATAAATGCTGTACACAACAGTAAGGCTATAGACATTATATTCTATTCAGGCCGGCAGAACCAGCAGCACATCGGCTCTACAGTGCACGGCACTGCTGATTAACCATTTTATTGCAGCACAGAGTGTCTGCCAGCAACCAATTACTTGCAGAGGCTTCCTACAACTTGTTTCAACGGTTCCTATTTAATCAGAAGACAAATTAAATAGGATGACTAGCCAATGTGAAAATCAAAAGAAAGCATAGAATAATGTACTGAAGGAGACTGTTGTGCCATCACATTTTTTTGTGGTTTGAGAGCAAAGATCCGGTCGCTGCTGTGCAAAACTCTGCAATACAATTAGGTCTGAAAAACCCCCGGAGTCCTCCCCCCCCCACGTGAACAAATATTTGAATATTTGTTATAAATTCTGCCGAAGGTCCGAATGTTAAAAAATGGTATTCGGGACAGCCCTACTTTCTACTGCATAGACAGCTCATTTTTTTAAAAGAGGCACTTGTAGTATTATGGTTTTATATTATCATTATATCACATATCAGTGTCATAAAACAGTTGCAAAATGACAATAACATTGTTCATCGCAGTTATTTCTGGGATAATGTATCATCAAACCAAAGTAATTATCATGACAGGCCTAAAAGAGTCTTTCAGAAAGGGGAGCAATGGAATTCATCACAGCCTGCACATCTGTTGGCACTAAAACTACACCATCAATTTCCTCTAGTGAGATTTCAGATACCAGTTTTTCATTTTGATGTTTACCAACCCAACGGAGGTCTAATGAGCTCAAGAATTTTTGAGTTGTTAGTCAGTCTGCCTTATGTGGCTGTGTGTATAATGATTTATAGTATATTTCAAACACTTTCTGGATTGCTTCCATTTTGTACTTGTTTTTTAATGTATAACAGCTGTTTCACTATTGTCAGTATTCCCTAAGAGTGTCCTTCTGTGATCAAGTTGTTACAGGAAAATGGCAGAAGTTCCTAAAGAGCAGGAGATCAAGTGGAAAGAGATCTTTGAGATGCAGCATTCAGTAAGTGTTGTTTTATCAATTCTGGTCCATTGATTGCTGGTAACCCATCATTGTCAAGGGAAATACGCTACTGGCTACTAGTTTTGCTTCAGTCACCAGCCAAAAACAACAATGCTAATCTATTGATTGGCTGGTAGATTTTGATATCCATCAGCTGCAGTGGCAGGTGGACAAAAAAAATAATTTACATTTTGCTCTGAGTTTTCTGAGTCATACATTGTTCCCACTTTGCAGAGGAAATGAAAAAGTTAAAAAAAAATGTTTCTGTGTGTTGCAGGAGGGCTACTGGGAGTTAACCCCAGAACTGGGTGAACTCATGAATGTCGACGTGGACCTCTTTGCCAACGTGTTCCTGAAAAGCAAGGGCATCCAGTCTCTAGGTGAGAACTCTCAGAACCTGTTTCAGGCCTTTAGAGTGGAAGCAGTTTTATCATTTCAGATAATGTTTGCCAATTCTGACATCAAAGGTACCACAATGTAAAACATAAACAAATACACTGAACAGAAATCTAAACCCAACACTTTGTTTTTGCTCCTACTTTCATGGGTTTAAGTTAAAGATCTACAACACGTGCACACAGAAGACTCTCAAATATTGGTCAATTGGTTAGTCAATTTTTTTTTATAAATCTGTGGTAGTGAGCACTTATCTGTTCCCAAGGTCTCGAAGGTCAAGGTCTTTTGTAATCTCACAAAACATTATTTTGGCTATAATGGCAAAGCAAGGCAGCGTTATTTGTACAGCACATTTCATACACAAGGGCGATTCACAGTGCTTTACAGAGCAATAAAATATAAAACATAATAGAGGATACAGAAAAGAGTAAAGAGAAAAAAAGATATAACAGGTAAAGTTAATTACTAATTTACAATTAAAAGAAATCACCTTTAAAATAGCAAAGATCAGACAAATAAAAATAAAAAGATTATTTAAAATGATTTAAAATTGAGTTTTAAAATAAGTTTGCAATCATCACAGGGTGGAGTAGGCAGTGTAAAAAAGGAATGTTTTTAGCTTTGACTCATCATCTGGGAGGTTTTTCCAGGTTTGTGCTGCATGATAACAAAACGCTGCTTCAGCATGTTTTGTTCTGACTCTTGGGACGGTCAGTAGGCCGGCCCCAGATGTCCTCAGGGTCCTAGAGGGTTCATACGTCACAAGCATGTCAGAGATATATTTGGGTGCTGAGCCACAGAGTACACGAGCAGCAAGGTTTTGAAATAATTCTCTGTGTAAGGATTTTAGAACTGGAGTTGAGTTGTTGTCAGGACGCTAGCAGCAGCATTCTGAATAAGCTGAAGTTGCCGAACAGCTTGTTTTGAAATTCCTACAAAGAGACCACTGCAGCGATCTAATCTACTGGAAATAAAGGCGTGTGTGAGCCTGTCAGAGTCTTGCTTTGATATTATTCCTCTGACTCTAGCAGTGTTTTTTAAATGGTAGCAGGCAGGTGACGTTACGGATTTCATGTGGCACTGGAGATTTAAATCTGAGTCCAGGATAACACAGAGGTTTCCTGCTTGACTCTTAGTTGTAAAAGAGAGGGATTCGAGGTCTGTCTTTTTTCCATGTCCAAATACAATTATGTCAATCTTAATTGATAATTCAAGAATTCACACAGTAACTGTGCCAAAATTTCACACAGGTTTCCCAGTGTTTATTTGCAATAACGTGGGTAGAAAATTCTCACATCATGTACATAAAATCAAATGGCACTAAACTGCTAGTTTTAGCCACCTAAAAAACACCCACCAAAAAAAACTAATATCAGTGTAAATGTGCTTTATATTTAGAGTATTTTCACCACTTAACCTTGCCATCAGACGGCCTTTTCCGACAGGGTACTGTAGCCGTTATGTCAAAGTCACCAAACTCCGTCGAAAACTGTAAACTACAGCTTAACTGGTTGGCAGAGGCTTACAACCTGGAGGCAGATGTTCTCGTATATCCAGCTTTATGATTAACCTCTGCTTTGACACCAATACAATGGACGTGAATGGATTTTCTACTGCTCCTTGCTCAAAAAGCAAAGAAAAAAACAACAACATTCACATCTCTTTCAGCAAATAACATCCTGTCATTGTGGAACCGGTGCAGATATCTCAGCCAGGATTTGAGCTTTGGTTCTCGCTAGTTCCCACCAATGTTAAAAGTGTGCATGTGCGTGTGTGGTGCAGGTGTGAAGGCCCACGCAGACATCCTGAGGCTGGTGGCAACTCTTCTGGTTCTGCAGATGATGAGGGAGAAGAAGCTGGAGGAGGGCAAACTGCTCCGCACCCTCTTCAGCCTGGACGACTCCACTCAGCCCATGTCAGTCCAAAACCAGACAAACAATGCAAAGACACTGATATAATTGACTTTCTGACATTTTTATAAAAACACATCAACTGATCTTCTTCAACTGAACATCAATCATACATTTTTATGTAACATTATTTAATATATCCTTTCACATGAAAAATACCTCTTTTATAAAGTGCTTCAAAAGCTTTTTACTATATATAATATACTGTATAATAATTCCCTCTCTTATATCTAAACATTAACAAATGTCTCCTTCAAACAGCTGTATTTAGTCAAATTTCTTGCCAAAAACTACACTTAACAAGATTATATTGAACACATCATGAGAACATTACAATTTGCCTTTGCCTAATACTCATTTTTACTGAATAGAGCTTGAACGCATCCTAATGTAACTCAATGCAACCTCCCTTAGCTGTTAGTTCCGGCCACCGGCTGCTAACAGCTAACGTTAACTAGCTCTCCTCCCGCCAATGTAGCATTATCAGGGAAACAATAGGAGAGCTCTCTGTGTCCTTTTGTGACAAAGGTGTCCTGGGTAATATCTCTATTTGTCCCAAACACATTTTCCACTAACCCCAGGACATCGGGACTCCAACTATTACCAGCCATCTCGAGATCAAAGAGCCCATTTAACAAACAGTCACTATATTCTTCTTGCACCCACTTCAAGTTTGTGTCCTTTGGTCTGGAGTCCTGCTTTTTAGTCCACGCAAATTTGCTAAAACAACAGAAAAACATCAGCTACTGCCATCAGTGTATGTCATTTAATTTGCTGTTAGGCCACTGGCAGTCGGCAAGGTGAATATCGGTCGATACCATCTAAACTGTAACTCACATACTGCATCCATGATACATGTTCAGAACACGACAAAACAGGTGTGATGTCTCATGTTAATGAAGCAGGTCTTTCTCAGTCTTTCTCACATGAGGTTAAATTGGTGAGTTACAACTTACAACAGATATAAAAACTAAAGAACAAAACAAAAACACAAGACATGATAAATCCAGGATGGAGCATAAAGGCTTGCATCGTCAGAAGAGGAACTGTAAGAGGAAGCAATCAGCTTTTCATGCAAACATGACCTTCAGATGACCAACGACTTTTAAAGTACTTCTTGAAATTAAACTTGCTTGGTTTAACCTGTTGTTTATGTTTGTGGAAGTTTCATAATTTATTGTGATTTCCTGCTCTGGATGATTTTATAAACCGCTGTGAGTGGCTACCTCTCTTGGTAATGACTGAGTGTTTCTTCCAGGCCTGAGCGGTGGGAGGCGGTGAAAAGGGCAGTGGACTGGGTTTGCTGGGCTGACCGCCAGTACCCGTGTGTCTACAGCCGGCTGGAGTTTGGTTGGAGCTGGGAATCCTCCACCCGTCAGCTGCTGGGCTACGAAGTCCTTCCTTCCTACTCACCTCTCTGTGGTCTGAACCTGCAGAGGTTTGATACGAGCACTTTTCTTTGGTTTGCAGCTTGAACTGTTTGACAGTACTAGGGATGGATATTACTGGGTTTTATTTATAATATAGATACTAATACTGGTTATGGATACCTATACTTACTTATTGATATTGATGTGTCTAAGACAAAGACTACGTCATTGATGTAGGATGTGGTGGTTGTTTTGTTGACCGTATGCTAACACTCTAACTAGCCCATTTTACGAGAAATTGCAGGACGTGTTGCATGACTGTTCGTCGTTTTTTGCGCTATGCAAGAAGTCAGGTTGAACTCTGCCGACAGCGATATCTCCAGCTGTACCGACACAAGTGCTAGCATGACTAGCAAGCAGCTAGCAAAAGTGTGGACACAATAACTGTGCACGGGGGTCTTGACCGCAGTTACAAAATCTGAACACAAGTGGTCAGCTGGAAACGCATGATAGAAACAGGTTTAGTTTATTAGGATCCTCATAAGCTCCTGCATTGCAGCAGCTATTCTTGAAGCTGTTACAGTAATCTCCCATGGATAAAGTTCCACGTAATGTGACGGAGGCAAATTTATTTTCTGTAGCTGTCGACGTAACATATAGTAGCTCTAATATGCATCGATATATATAACGTTTTGTTTACCATCAGGTACGTTTCTTCATTTTCTACCTGCATTCCATCTCTCACTTTCAATTCAGTTTTATTTATAAAGCCCAATATCACAAATCAGAATTCAGCATACAACATCCCTCTGTCCTTTGGACCCTCACAGCAGATAAGGAAAAACTCAAAGGCGGAAAAAAATAATAGAAACCTCAGGAAAAGCAACTGAGGAGGGATCCATCTCTCTGAAATTATGTTTGAATAGAGTTTGAATCTGATATGTTTGAAAAATGACAGGCAAGTGGGGCAAGGGAAAAAAAATATCATGGGTCCTTGAAAAGTCATGGGAACATTTTGAAATTTGGTTTGTGTAAATGTGTGGGAATCCTGGTTATTTTTTTAAAGACTGTTTTTTGGCTTTTACCTTTGACAGGGCACATTAAGCGGAATGGGGAAGACAGAGGGGATGACATGCAGCAAATGGCCACAGGTACGAATCAATCCTGGGTCGTTGCGGCAAGGACGCAGCCTTTGTTAATGGGGCGCCTGCTCTACGAGGTGAGCGCCTGGACGCCCCCTCCGTGGTTATTTTTAACAAGTGAAATTGTTCCTTGAGTTTCCTGTATATATAATGAGAGAGAAGCTATTGTTACAAATGTCTGGTCAACTGATGTCTGGTGGTGATGTGCCTTAATGCTGCTTTACTACCAGAAGATAAACTTCAGCAAGATTATGAATTACTAAAGAACTGTTAGTCCTCGAGCTTCTCTAAAGTTAACAGACAAAGATAACATAAAAAATTTACTTTAATACCAAATAAGGTAAAAATAGATATATGTTCTGGGTTAGTCACACCACAGAACAATGTGTTATCAACCTCCCAGACAAATTTGAATGACTAGAATTTCCTGAGTGTAAAAATTAGGTTTCAAAATCATGAAAAAATTGCAGTAGTCTCTGTACTGAAACACTGGGGGTGTATCCACTGAAGGCCAGTTTTATCTGCCCAATATGGCAGCAACATCGGCAGCAATAAGCCAAAGCAGTACATGCAGTGTGACAAAATGACAAAGCAGCGTTCTGAGTAAGTTATTAAAAGGAAACTGTGGGGATTTTCAACCAACTCTGTGTCACTGCAGCAAATGAACAGTGTTTGGTTCAACCTACCTCCGTGCTACAGCATCTGAAGCTCCCCAGTCTCTTGGCAGGGGTCTGCCAAATGATGTAAAACCTCTGCTGGTTGGTAGGTGAGCCAGGGGAGCTCTGTGTGCTGTAGCACAGAGGGAGGGTTGACATACGACTGGTTAGAAATTGGGAACGTTTTCCTTTCCCCTCCAAGTTTTCTTACTATTAAACAGTCTAACCCCAAAATGCAGCGCTATACAATTCAGTCTTTTCACGTTTTCCAACATGTAAAAATGTTTTTAGAAACAAATCTTTAATTTTACTTTACCCAGACTTTAGATACAGTGTTCATAAATAGAGCCCACACTTTTGACTGGCAGCTTCGTCGTCATTAGGGGACAGTTAGGAAAATGCCGACTATGTCAGAATGAACTGTTCATTCATTCATGCATTATCCATGACCACTAATGCTGTTCAGGGTTGCGGTGAGGCTGGAGCCTATTACAGCTGACACTGGGTGAGAGGCGGGGAATCACAGAGCTGTAAATGAATACCTATAGAAGCACTGTTTATCCAGGAGCTTATTGTTATTTCAGCAACTGTACCAATTTCGTCCCAGTTCTTGATACCCATCCCTAGCTGATGAGTTAAAATGCCCTTAAATGTCCATATACAGCTGGCACTCTGTGGTAACCTAACTTTTTAAACTATATAGAAATAAAGTAATGCAGTTTCCTTAATTAGGGTAGGGGATCTGATAGTTTTCTCCTCGGGGAAAACCAATTTCCTGGCTATATATACTGATAATCGTGTTTCTAATTATCTTTTTACATGTGCGCATGTCTATGACAAAGCCTTCAGACAGAGAAAGTATCACTGTGAGAGCAGAGCAACAGGAACAAAAGGAAAGGTCGCGGTGAGAAGCAGTGCGTCAGAGAGCTCAGAATAATCCGGTCCAAAATTAGATTAAAACTGAGGCTCACACAGCAGAAGTCTGCTTCCTCTGAACTTCTGACCCTTTGAATTTAAACACAATTTTCCTCCCAGTGTCTCACACACGGACATACAGGCAAAAATAGATAAAATTCCTTGTTGAGTGCATGTGTTGTTTGCTTTAAAGGTGCAATGAACGTACCTTGCCTTATCTATATGTCACTGCCTTCCAGCACCTTTGATTACTTTATTGTAGCTATAAGTTCAAAATGAAGAAAGTATGACCAGACTTGTAATGAGTAAATATGGAAGGAAACAGTTTATAGGTGGTGATTTCAAATCATGTGAAATCCACAGTTGCTGTGTGTCAGTTGTGTGAACCTGAAGTGTCAGTGAGAACAATGATAAGTATCTGCATACTATCACGTAAGATATAACTAGCTCATGCAATGGCAGGTCTTTTATCAAATTATTTTATATCTTTCTGATGTTGGCTGGTCACAATTTGTTTAAATCTTTTCTCAACATAATCACCTGGAACATACTGCATGTGCATGAGATGTGCTTTTAGAAAATACAGCTGTTGAACCTGAACATATTGCTGTTTCAAGAACTGGTTCACCACTTCTCTATTTTTTCTATTTTTTTCTCACGCTGCTTCAGTTGTTTTTCCTGTGAAAACCACTATAATGTGTAAAAACCAACAGCAGACAGAGCCTGTCTGAGAAAAAAAAATACAGAAGCTAATTACACACAAGAGATTTGAACTATCAGGGCCTGTGTCCACATAGCGTTTATTTCTTGACACTGGTGTCTTTTTCACTCGTTACTAATGAGGAGAGAGCATATGCAGCGGCCTAGCGCCTGTCCGTTCTTTGTTTTGTTTTGTTTTGTTTTGTTTTGTTTTGTTTTGTTTTGGGGATTTTTTGTGCGTCCACTCTAAATGCTTCTATTTGAAAATCTGTGAACTTTTCAGAGAGGCACTGGCGATGTCACTGATGTTTCTTTAGCCAGGCTACTGTCACTACAAAGACAGAAAAGCCCATTTGTGGGAGCAGATCAGCTGGTGAACACTGAATGTTTCTGATGGTTAATGTTCTTTTATCACCGTATGTTTGTACCTGTGTATGTAACTGTGTAGTCAACCATCAGTTAAGGTAGCGTTATTTAAGCTGCCTAGCTAACGATTATACAATAATATTTGACCTTATACTTAATTATGTTTAACTTGGACCTGTTGTCCTCGTCCGTGGACACTTTTTTGTGCCATCTCGTGTAGTAAGAGCACAATTCACTAATCCGTGTAAAAACAAGATGGAAGCCATCTCTGCCAAGTCAGGCTGCAGCTCATCCCAACACAAAAGTGAACAAGGTCCAAATCATGATCAGATTTTGAGATTGAAATTTGTTTATTTAATAGTAGTAGTAGTAGTATAGTTTGATATGGCAACAAATTTGACCAATTTTAGCAACAGTAACAAGATAAGACACTGATAATTAGGAAGTACTCATTTGAAGACACTGGGACTTTATTATCGTTTATACTTATCAGGTCCTACTGATCCCAAAGAGCTAGGAGAAATCAAAAATGCATAACAAACAAGAGTTTGGGTCTCAGGAGGATATAAACAAAACCCACGTGCAGGGCTTCATTAAAAAAAAAGTCCTGTGACCACTTTTGTGCCAAAGAAAAACACTATGTGGACACACGGCCTTAGGTTGCTTTCTATATCAGGTGTCACATGTTTGTGTTATGGTGGAAGGTATATTGTTTTTGCGTGTGTGTGTGTGTGTATAATCATGAACAGAATTAAAATCTTTAAAAATGTTAATTGGAGTGCCTTCACTTCTCTTTTTGTGTCACTTTCTCTTTTTGTCAACACCATAATAAATTCATTCTGCATGAAACCTTTGTTGTCTTTTGCCTCTCTTCCCAGCCCAGCCACTGGAAAAAATATTGGCGTCATACATTTCTGCAAACCATGAATACATTACAATTGCACTTGTATTATGTAGCGGACATGTTAAAAAGTTTGCATTTCAGCAATGCTGTGGTTAACTTGTGGTTCGGAAAAAGAGAAACTCATTTGAAAACATGTTTTGGCTGAAATGTCCCAACCCTCACCTATGGTCATGAGCTCTGGGTAGTGAACGCAAGAAAGAGATCACAGATACAAGCGGCTGAAATAAGTTTCCTCCGTGGGGTGTCTGGGCTCCGCCTTAGAGATAGGGTGAGGAGCTCTGACATCTGGAGGGAGCTCGGAGTAGAGCCGCTGCTCCTTCGCGTCAACTGGGGTCAGTTGAGGTAGTTTGGGCATCTGATCAGGATCTTCCAGGCACGACCCACTGGTAGGAGGCCCTGGGGCAGACCCAGAACACGCTGGAGGGATTACATATCTCATCTGGCCTGGGAACACCTTGGGGTCCACCAGGAGGAGCTGGAAAGTGTTGAAGGGGAGAGGGGCGTCTGGAGTGCTTTGCTCACCCTGCTGCCCCCATGACCCGGCCCCGGATAAGAGGATGAAAATGGACGGATGAATATTTTGACTTAAAATTCCCTGTTTTTTGGTGGCACAGTCCTCGCTAGGAACACAGCAATGTCTCAGTAAAAAAAAGTACCGCCTTTCGTGGCACTCTCCCTGGTGGGAACACAGCGATGTGTCCCTAAAAACACAACACTCGCTAAAAACAGATTATGCTGTTTGTTGGACTCAAACAGTGGTCTGCAGCTTGGCAGGTGTGTGACCTACATGTCGTGCTAATTGTCGTGAATTTTAACTTGGTTTATTGTGGAACCAGTAACTGTTTCGTCCTTATCATGATTAGCCTGATAATGGGTATTCACCATTGTTTTATCACAATCAATGATTAAAAAAAAAACAAAAACGCACATCCCTCTTCTAACATATGGGATTTGATTGGTATGCTGCCATTAAATAGACTTAACTTCTCTTTAAACTGTCAGCAAGAGTGTAAGTTGCATTTCCCAAAAAGGTCTTGCTAGTTGTTTTAGCAGCGCCATAAAAAATGTATAGAGATCACCAAAAAGGCTGCAACTAACGATTACTTTATTATCAACTAATATACTCATTATTTTCAGGATTGATTGTTTCATCAATAAAATGTAAAATAAAAAAATCCCCAGAACTCAAAGTGAGATTCTCACTTTGCTCCTCATGTCTGACCAGTGGTCCAAAACCCAAAAGACTCTTAATTTCCTCTCACAAACGACCAAGAAAGCAGCAAATTCGCACATTTACGGAGCTGTAGCCAGCAAATGTTTGACTTTTTTGCTTGAAAAGTGACTGAAACGATTCATTGCTTATCAAAATAGTCGATGATTAATTTTCTTTCAATGGACTAATCAACGAATCATCCTTCTGTTGCCTCTGTAACGACGAACCAAGCACACTCCTATGCGTTTTCTCTTACCTGGGAGCTCACTGCGATCTCCATAAGGTAAGACACTTTTTTTTTCTTTAGTGGATTATTCCAGCACAGACTTAGTTGCAGAGGTGTTTGAAAAGGTAATTTTGACTTAGTAATGCCTGATTTTTATTTATCTTAGGGACTCTAATAGGGGTCCTGGTGGTTTTCCACTCACTCCTGTTTAGAGGTCATTTAAAGTCTGCGATGCATTTTGAAAAGAACTTGAGTGATTTTTTTGTAGCGCTTTATCGTAGGCAACCGGTTTTGCTTGAGTTTCCTGACAATGTTTCAACTCTCATTCAAGAGGCTTCTTCAGCTCAGTTCAGTTTCAAGAAACTCAAGTTACCTACAATATAGCACTTTCGATTACCATGACCTGGATGACTGAGAATCTTCACCAACATGTTGCTAAACAATTTGGGAAGAATGCCCTTCGACTGGTACAGGAATTAGAAAGAATATCTATTACAGGAACCACCTGTGCTTCAATTTGAAATGCAGGCAACATGGGATCATTCCTAACATCCTTGGGTTTCATCGTGAAAGGACACAGGGCTGCAGCTATCCTTCAGAGGGCTCAGCACCAGCTGCTCGATGAGAGAGAGAGAGAGACAGATTCATTTCACCATCGATGCACTTGAATCCAAGACTGAACAGATATTTGAAGAACTGATTACCCAGTGAAGTCCTTGAAGATGTCTCTGAGTTTGTTGAGAGGGCGTCGATGTCGCAACACACCAGGGGCAAGGAACAACAGACATGGAAATTCCTTACACTATAGTCTCGTCAGAACAACCACAACCTGGAGAAATTAGTACAGCAACACAACACATCTGGACATACATGAGAAGTGGTTGAAAAACTTATCAGACAGAGAGCTTAACAACTTTGCTGCAACACCAGAACAGAAAACGGAAGTAGATCTCACATGGAAGGATGTCAGAGGAGACAGTCTACCCTTCTTAGACCATGCAGTGCACACTGAAGAATACAAAAGCCTTAATATTGGAGTGAATGGAAAACTTTCACACAGACCAGTACCTGTCGTTTGACTGGACAACCCACTGCAGCACAAGCTGGGGGTCATCAGAACCCTGAGCCATCGGGCTGGAAACGTGTCCACGAGGACAGAGGGGAAGGTGAAGGAACAGAAACACATCAGGGAAGAGCTAAAAAATCTTGTGACTACCCTAACCAAGACCTCAAACAGACCAAGAACAGACAGAGAGGAAGAGACACAAGCTCAGAGGTTACATGTGACCTCAATGACTCTGAGGGGACACCCGCACAGAGTTTAAACCCTGCAACTCTGCAACAGTCCGTTAGAACTGGAGAAGCCTCTTGAATGAGAGGTGAGACGTCTTTAAGAAACTCAAGCAAGTCCAGCTGCCTACAATAAGATTACTACGACCTGGATGACTGAGAGTCTTCACTGATTAAGGTGATTACAGTGTCTCTATCATATTTGTTTGCCTTTAACAGGGGAAAAAAAAGCAGTAGAAACCTCAGGAAGAGCAACTGAGGAGGGATCCCTCTTCCAGGACGGACGGACGTGCAATAGATGTCGTACAGAACAGATCAGCATAATAAATTAACAGTAATCCGTATGACACAATGAGACAGAAAGAGAGAGAGAGAGAGACAGATGCAGGACAGACGGTAATGACAGTAGCTTACAACAACATTAATGAAAGTAATAATATTATAATTCTGGCTACTGTGGTACAATATGTTGAAAGTATATATTAATATCTGATAGTATACATATGGGACAATGCATTCTCCGAGCGCAGTGTTCTGGTGGGATAATATGGCACTATGAGCTCTCTAAGATATGACGGAGCTTGACCATTTAGAGCTTTATAAAGTACCGGAGGATTTTAAATTCAATTCTGGATTTTACAGGGAGCCAGTGCAGAGAAGCTAAAACAGGAGAAATATGATCTTGTTTCTTAGTTCCTGGTGTAGAACTTTCAGTGGTGGATGACCTTTGTCCGAGCTGCATTCATCACCAGCAAAACTCTGGACTTCCTCTTTTAAAAAACCAGACATTATAACCAACAAGAGTGTCATCATTTACACGTTTTGTATTCTGTGCAGCAGAGCTGACCTTCAGGGAAATAGCCGGCATCCTCGTGAGCGATGGAGGAAATCTATGCCAATGTTGAAAATGCCAAACCTGTCAACCCGAGACCTTCAACAGCGCAGACGACAGGTGAGAATGTGAACAGATGTTTATTATCATTACTGTTGTATTATTGACTGTGTTTACTGGTGTTCTCTGTGTTCAGGCACCAGGAGCTCAGAGAGATTTCCTGGAGCTGTTGTTCTCTGCCTGGGGCTACTCAGTGTTCTCCTGCTGGCTGGGCTCACCGGCCTCGGTGTCTACTGTAAGTCTGCTTTTTTTATTCAAGTTAATGTCAGTTTGAAGTTGTGATTTTTCAGGAGCAATATTCTGCGCTGAGAGATGCACCTAAATGTTAGTCAGCTTTCTTGATTTTTGTCAATTATTTTACTTACCTTTTTAGAGTCTGTCTTGAAAAGCATCACAATATATAATTGAATATTGACCTCATTTTTTGTTTTGTAAATACATTTGTCATGAAGATGATTTTTTCCAGGCTGATAAAAAGTCATAGTCAAGCAGCTTGCTTCCAGCAGATTATTTACTTTAAATTCTACTTTAGAGATGAGTTTTCAGTATTTTCTTCTGCCTGGTGCTTGTTAAACACTGTAGCATAATGCACATTTTCATTTGTATTTTATTTTATTTTATTGCTTTATATTCACATACTTTTTATTCATACTCTTTTTCTTATTTCTGATAATTCTCTATTCTTTATATCAGAGCGACTGTAACAAATCACAATTTCCCTCGAGGATCAGTTAAGTATTTCACATTCTGATTTCTGACTCTGAAATTTGTACAACCTAAGCTGAAAGGTTATGAAAGTCAGTAAACTATAATAGTTAATAAAAGTATTGAAACTGTGCCATTTTGAAAATATATATACAAAAATCTGACATGTTTTTTCATTAGATTTTACAAAATAAAAACACACTGATCCAAAAGATTTTTTAATGTAGAAACATAAACAAAATATTTCTTAACACTTAACTGAATTATTTGAACCATGTGCATTATTTAGTTTTTGGGATATGCTCATTTTTATGAGCAGAGTGAAAAAGCCTTGTGATCGATTTATCAATCATTCATCTGCGCTGCTTCACGTTTTTGCACTACTTGTAATGTAGCACAATGACGTGAATCATGACACAAAAGAAAGAAGCCGCAGTTTTCTGCTGCAAAGAGAATGAATGCTCTCGCTATTATGGTTTTTATTTTACATCAATATGTAAACTGATAGACTATCACAGGGCTGACACATAGAGACAGACAACCATTCACACTCGCATTCACACCTACGACCAATTTAGAGTCACAGTCACAACTTCTGTTTTTACAGTTTCTGGCTGTGATGAAGGGTGTAATTTTGGTGATTCTTTTAAGGACGACGTGCCTTTTAAACATGCTGTCAGGTTTTGGGGTTCAGGGAGAAATAAATACAAAATACAACCATTTAAAGTTGTACGTCCCTCCCCGAAACCAAAATGAAAAGCAAGTCCCTTAAAAAATTATTTGACATGCCCCCATGATTTTGCACCATCCTGTCCTCTCTCATTAATAGCTGTTAGGGACCAAGCAGTGAGGCAACAAGGACACAGGAGTCGTTGACAAAATCGTGGGTTTTTATTTAGCCAAAAAAATGCATGAAAAATCACAAACCAAGAAATGAATAACTATAGAACAGGTCAACATAACATAACATAACCATACTCAATATAATAAATAAACAAGGTGTGTTAACTGAACAAACTGACCTGTCAAAATGACACATGAGGGAGCAGTGGCTTGGTCAAACCAAATAAACACAAGGGGTAACCAAAATGGACGGCAACTGCAAGTAAACACAACGCAAATCTAGCTAAATCCAAATCAACATTTTTTATGACCTTAGGGCAGAATTATGAAATATTTTGACTACATTAATATCAGTATAGTATCAGTATGTATAGAAAACCATGATTATATTCTACTTTTAACTCTGTAAACTCTATGTACAGTCCGTTTGTCTTGTTCCAATAACTTAATTTCAGCCACTCAGTTTATGTAAACATGAATTTATTTATGCATGAGGCACCTTTTCCAACTAGAAGTCTTGTAAGCATCTGTATTAAAGCTAAAAGCCAGAGTTTAGTCCATGGTATGTTTAAAAGAAGCACTGTGTAGCAATTAATGACATCTAGCAGTGAGGTCTGCCAATTGTAACCAGCTGAAACTACTCCCATGTGCCAAGCGTGAACTCCCTGTTAGGATTCCTTCAGTGTTCAACGGACCAGGTGATTAAAAATGGTTAAAACACTGACTGAAGTGAATCAGTGTTTCTCCTCCACGGTTTGGCTGATCGGGGACCTACCTACCACTAGCCCAGTACCTGCCAATGTGCGTTCACCTTTTTATGCCTCTGAGCCAGCAACAGCCTTGGCTGGAGTAATTTGAATTGAATTTGGTGGTCACAGGTCAAAGGCCATTGTGACCTTATGCCCGTCTTATTCTGGGAACGTGATATTTCAAGAAGGCCTTGAGGGAATTTCCTCAAATTTGGTGCAAACGTCCACTTGGACTTAAGAATCAGCTGATTAGAATAAGGTAATTGAAGGTCAAAGCATCCATGTTTTCACAGACATAGATGTAAACGATAACTGCAACTTGATGGGTTCTTGGAGGCATTCAACTGTGAGGCGGTAATTCTACTTAAGTCAGGACCACTTCAGTCAAAGAAAACGATTTCCATTTGCAGTAATATATGTGGCAGTATGGCTCTGTTCTGGGGCCTCTCTGCCCTCCCTAGGCCACAGAAAGCCTGAGGCGGAGAAAGCACACCTCCCTGCCCTTCCATGCGCCTACATGGAAAGCCTAAGGCAGGGAGAGCAGCAGGAATGACCCACCAGGAACAGAACAGAGCTTCAGTGACAAACAGAAATGACATTGATAAGTCAGACACAACATGAAAAGGAGGAGCTGGGGTGGAGGTGGGTTGCAAAGCAGCTTGCAGAGGAAGCAGCAACAGTAGGCAGGCCAGAGCAGTTTAAATAGGGCACCCTGAATGATCCAATGTTTCGTTTATCTTTTCTGGGCTTTTGTATGAACATGGCGGTACACTGTCTGCTACCTATGTAGATATTAACGGTTCATTCTAAGGTAACAAAATCACAAAAGTTCGTATTTTCAGGTGATTATACACCAAAGAAAACACACTTATAATGTTATATTCCATTTCTGCCAATATATACTTGTAAATCCTACACACTGGACCTTTATGTGGCTACTGTCTCTGCATGAACAGTTGTTAAAGTATGCAGCTAAGTCATAACTTCCAGGTGAAAAAATGTCTTTGCTTGAACAGTTCCCCAAAAAACTCTTTATACTTAAACGACTTTCACTTCCTTTTTATGATTGTGATAAATTGACAGTACAACTTCTTCATAGTGTGACCTCTAAGTTCCACTATTTTCACTTTTCCGGGATTCTTTTTTCATATCGCCTTCCTTTTTGTTCCAATGTCATTTTATTTAATGAGTGATCTGAGAGGTAATGTAGTGTGAGGAGTCACTACAGATCCTTCAAACAAGGCAGAGTGAGGGGAGTTTATTTATTGTCATATGCACAATAGTTACAGAGAAGCTGATGTAGGTGATGAAAATCTTAAATCTCAGGCTCCCTCCAACAAAAATCATTAAATATGTGTAAAAAGAAAATCATGCAAAAGGGCTTGAAATGTCTATAGAATATAAAATATGTTTGTGGCAGACAGTAATTGCAACATGAATAAACTATAATATAAACATGATGAATTACACGTATACGTGTACTGAGAGCGACATGAGTCTAAGCAGGAAGTCACACAGCCTCCAACTTCTGTAATAGAACGTAGGATGTGGGTCTTGTCTGATCTTTAATGTCTTTTGTTTGATGCATGTTACAGAGAAAATCTGTCCAGCAGAGTGGAGGATGTTCAGCTGTGTCTGTTATTTCCTCTCCACTCGGTCTGATTCTTGGGAAAAAGGCAGGCAGGACTGCAGAGACAGAGGAGCAGATCTGGTCGTCATCAACACTTTAGAAGAACAGGTAGTGTGTGTGCTTCTTTATCCCCTGACCAAAAACGATATCCCAAGGAAAATGTTCAAATCAGTCTATATGGATATAGATATAGATATAGATATAGATATAGATATAGATATAGAAGACTGGCAGTTTGATCACCGGCTTCTCCAGTCCACATGTTGAAGTATCCTTGGGCAAGATACTGAACCTCAAATTGTCCTAAGTGGCTGTTCAGTCGGTGTATGCGTGTGTTTAAGCTGAATGGCATGTGGCACCTTGTATGGTAGCCTCTGCCACCAGTATATGGGTGTGTGAATGGGTGAATGTGACATGTAGTATTAAAGCACTTTGAGTGGTCGGAAGCCTAGAAGGGCACTATACCAGTGCAGGTCCATTTATTACTATCGATAATGAAATTCACTTTTAAAGCCGCAGTGTGTAGTAATTTCTCCCATCTAACATTGAAATCGTATATTGCATTCAAACAGATAGCGCAATAGTCGGGTTACATTATTCATTTATATTTTGATCTTCATCTGGTGATTCAACGCCTGCAACGGTAGGGAGAGGGAGAGAGCGAGGACAGAGAGGCAGAGGATCGGTAGGAGTTAGGCGTGGAGGAAGAGCAGGAGGAGGAGGAGGAGGAGAGCGACAGTCAAGACCACGACGTTTACTTACCTGTCGAGAAGAAAGCAGGCAACTTCAGCGTCCCTTTTAAAACCTTTCTCCTTCAGCAGCTCTCTCCACCTGGGAAAAGGCTACCCCGATGTTGACCCTCGTTTTTTGAAGTCGCCGGTCACGTTGCCTTTTGATTCCCTTTTGCGCTTTCTTGGCGACGAAGGATTCCGTCTCCCATGATGCTGCATATACATGATCCTGCATTATGCTCAAAGAGTGGAACTTTGTTATGCTGCAGTAGTGCAGGCTTTCAGATTCGCTGGGATAGCAGCAAAGCGCCTCTTGCTCCTCTCCTTCATCTTCTCAGTCAAACAGTGCTGGCCTGGCTCTCAACGAAAACGCAGAAGGCGGGGCTATTCCCTCATAGAGCTATATGTCCCTTGCTGGCGGATGTATTTTCAAGATGGCGGTACGTTAAGGAACCCCCCAACAATGTACAAACAAATCCGAAATTCTCCTTTTACGAAAAGAAGTCAGATTATTGGTGGAGGTAATAACACACCAATGATGACATATTTATGAATGCAGACATTGATTTTTGCCAATAAACAACTGAAAATGCTACACACTGTCCCTTTAATAATTACCAGGAGAGAAAAGGTTGAATTTAACCGCTTTACTTTTAATTTAAAAACTTAACTTACCAAGGTACACGGGTAATAATTTCAGTGTTAAAACAACAATGAAAAACACACACAAATAATAAATAAATATAAATAATGATAAAGAAATTATCTCACCCCAAATAAGGAAAGCAAGTAAAATGAAGGTTAAGGTAGACTGACTTAACATCAATAAGAGACAATGAATAAACAATTTCTTGAGCTAAACTAAAATTTTACAAAATTTGTGCACTGTGAAAGTGTTTTGTAAATGTAGAAAACAAAACTAAATCAACATGATATCTGTAAGATGTAATAAGACATATAAAAACCTCTAAAATGTAGTCAACAAAATAAGATGTTAAACTAACAGAGTAATCTGAGTACTTTAATCCCCACAAACTGCATTCATGATATAGTTTAAGTTAAGATTTAAGCACTCTCATATCCTTTATCTTGAACAGGAATTCATCACTCAGATCATTAGGAGTAACACCTGGATCGGTTTGAATGACAGGGACAAAGAGGGCACCTGGATGTGGACTGATGGGACTCCACTGACTGTTGCGTAAGGCTTACACTACCTTATATTAATTCAGATGTATATGTGCAACTTTGGATGTATGATACCAAATTTATTATTTTATTTTATGACTGTCTAAATCAGTGGTTCCCAACTGGTGGGTCACAGTCCAAAAGTGAGTCATGGGTCCAATACCAAATGGACCGCAAGTGACTCATAAACGTGTCAGGTTTGTTAAAAACACACTTTATTTTGAAGGACAGTGAATTTTCAGCACAGAGCTTTTATTTTGAGGTGCTGTTTCCTGCCGTAGAGTGAGTGACTAACAGGCAGCTACATGACAGAGACAGCAAACTAGCTCGACTCAAATATGACGCTGAATATATTAAACTGTGTGGACCTTGAACTCATGACTGAGGAAAAAATCTGGACCCCGTGGCTGCACCAGTTGGGAACCACTGGTCTAAATAATAATTGTAACATTTCTTGACATGAAGAATTAAACTCATTTATTGGAAGCCAAAAACCCACATTTTTATTTCACCAGAAAAACTTTAAGCTGCATTTGTTTTGTTTTGTTTTTGGGCTCCTGTGGAAAATTGAAAAATCCTGTAAAAATTCACTTGCTTACTGACCTCCCATAGGTACTGGAGAGGCTGGCCTGATAACTGGCGTGAAGAGGACTGTGTAGAAATCTTAGCTGGCAAGAAGACAAGAGAAAACTGGAATGATTTGCGATGTGATACCTCTAAGCCATGGATCTGTGAGAAAATGCCGTAGCATTTAAACCTGTAGTTGGTAAAATAACATTTTGTCATATTTGCTGAAGCTGTCACTGTGTCCACACAGTCCACACAATCATGTTCCTCTGCCTTCTTGTACTGCGTCTAATGCCATTATTGCATGTAAACAAAACCAAGAAGAGTCTCTAATGCAGCTGTCGGTCATGTCAATCACTGCTCGTGACCAGCGGTCAAATTAGGCTGATTAAATATGGATCAAGATTGTTTGACTGCATTGCCTTTTTCTCACCTCAAATGTTTTCTCAATCATATTAACCCTATATATAACCATAACCCTATCATTTCATTTAATTTATTTGGTGAATTTGATAATTTTGATGACTGGGATGCAGAAGAGAGGTTAGAGAATGAAAAGAAAAGAAAAGAAAAGAAAAGAAAAGAAAAGGGAGAAACGGCACAAGGAGTCGCGGGTCTACACCAATCACAGCCTCAGGAGCACAGCTGTAGGTCAGCTCTCTGACGCCGGCCTGGAAACTCGTCAGATCATGACCGTCACGGGACATCGGTGTGAGAGCAGCCTGCAGGCTTATTGGGCCCCGTCAGCGCAGGAGAGACGAGACTGGAGCAACATCTTGTCGTCTCCAAATGTCCCAACAAGCAGTGCTCAATCTGTCAATCTCCGTCCTTCAAATGCCACTGTGATGGACATACCCATATCACTTTCAAATGTCACTATTAATGGTAATGTAGGCCTAGTATTTAATTTTAAATAAGAAGAAGAAGAAGATTTATCTATATTAATTTATTTATTTATAAAAACATAAAATATGAGCACATATTTACAAGCACGCAGACAGACAACAAACAAGAACATGAACGTATGCAAGCATACATGGATGCATCTTATTTAAAGTGCATAGTGATTCTAGTATTTAGTGACAAAAAAATAAATAAAAAATACCAATTAACAGGCTAGTTAAAACAGAGGCAAATAGAAATGTCTTAAGTTTACTTTTAAAAGAGCTCAGTGTTGGCGCATTTCTGACATTGCTTGGAAGGGCATTCCATCTGCTAGGAGCACAGCAGCTAAATGCTGCCTCTCCAGCTTTAGTGTGCACACGGGGAACAACGAGGAGACCATTAGCTGATGACCTGAGAGTTCTCATTGGCTCATATGGCACAAGTAATTCTTTAATATAGTTTGGGGCAAGGCCATTCAGTGCCTTATAGGCAATAAGAAGAATTTTAAATTCAATTCTGGCATTCAATGGGAGCCAGTGTAAGGATTGAAGAACTGGAGTGATGTGTGTATATTTCTTACTTTTGGTTAAAATACGTGCAGCAGCGTTTTGAATAAGTTGCAGTCGTTTGATGGATTTTTGAGGGAGTCCGGAAAAGAGGCTATTGCAATAGCCTAATAGAGTCTGCTTGTTACAAATGCATGAACCAGTTTTTCAGCGTCTGAATTTGTCAGAAAGTAGAAAACAATCGTTAATTTGTTAATGTGTTCATATGATTTAATCTCGACTACTAGGCTATATGCTTATGAATTAGGCTATGTTGCAATTAAAAACGATTTTGACTAGCCTACTATTTGGATGTTGATTATTTGAAACAAATTTTCTTGGGCCTATAAATGAACACCAGTGAATCATGAAAGTAATAGCCTATCTCAAGTGCACTGGCTTTCTGAAATAATCATCTTCTGAATAATATCACGTAGCTAACGTTTATCCATCATCTCACTTCCCTTCACTGATCAGAGTCGCTCTCTACACTGCGGCCACAGCGGGTTTCTATGGCAACGCCTGTCAGCTACAGAGATTAAATAGTCCGCTCAGCTGTGGCTTGTGAAAAACTCATGATTTTAACTGTAAAACACATTAAAGCATAAATAATTGATTTAATATTCGTTTCTTTGGTAAGTGACCATGGTATAAGCGGGTTAATGCCCTTCGAGGTGTCCATTATCAGGAATTAATGGACTTCGCGGACTTCGTCATGTTTTGGCATAAAATATCTTGTTCTGTACAAAAATGTTCAATCCCAACATTTTCTTCAGGCAACTGGGCTGGTCATGAAGGTTGAACCTGAGGTGCACTTATGATCGTAAAAATGTCCGTCACTGTTTCCTCTAGTTTCTCCCATGAACTGTTACTTCCCCCATTTTGTTGGTACATTAAGNATGCACTTATGATCGTAAAAATGTCCGTCACTGTTTCCTCTAGTTTCTCCCATGAACTGTTACTTCCCCCATTTTGTTGGTACATTAAGACTTTACACTGACATTCACAGCTCTGGGCTATTTCCAGTCGTGCACCTGCAACACACCTTACTAGTATAAACCCTCTCTCAAGTTTCCCTGTAGGTACCATGACATTACAAGTCTATTTAAGGCAACTTCATAACAAATAACATTCATACACTATGTTTATTTCATTGTTGTTTATTTGATCATTTCACAGTGCATAGAATTGCTCAAAAACATCTCCTTTTAAGGAAAAGGAAAAGAAGCATACATTTATACTTCCTCAAAAGATACGAGAAACCACTAAACCTGACGACTCACTTTGGTCACTTGCATGTAACACAGCCTGAGCTGCAAAGCCGACTCCTCAGATAGTCATTAGCATCAATGGAGGAAGTTTATGCGAATGTTGAATATGAGGAATGTGTTGAATACAAAGGAACCCCCAAAAAACAGACAGGTAAGAATGTTTAATATCATCATTAGTTCTGATTTATCATTTTCTATATTCACTGGTGTTCTCTGTGTTCAGGCTCCGAGGTTTCAAAGAGATTTCCTGGAGCTGTTGTCCTGTTTCTGGGGCTGCTCAGTGTTCTCCTGCTGGCTGGACTCATCGGCGTCTGTGTCCACTGTGAGTTTAACTTACATTCCTGTAAATGGTCTCCCTAGATTTCACACTCTTTCACTTTTTGTCACTTTTTAAAATTATTATTATTTCTGATCTATTTTTGTTTGATTGACTTTCTTGTATTAATGCCTCATTTATGTTTTTTTTTCTGTTAAAGTAGTTTCATTTTCAATATTTTGTCAATTATACACAGAAAAAAATCAAACCCTAGCAGCCAACTCAACAAAACAAGGACTCATTTTGGTGCCATATTCCAGTGGTTTCAAACTTTTTGTGCCCAAGGCACACCAAAGGGCAAGCCAAAGTCTCAAGGCACACCTGTATTTATATCTGTGCACAATAGCTTCTATAACATGTAAAAGCTATAAAAGCTTCAGAATTCACGAGTGGGGTATTCTATGTCGTAAACAAAATGAAATTCTCTTGAGCTTGTGTTCACCACAGATCCTATTCCAAGCATTGACAAAAACCCACTAAAGTCTATTGACTTGAGATGAGGGGACTGGGAGTGCTGCAATGCTGACTCGTGTCTGGATTTTAGGACTCATTTCTGCACTACTCCTGTCACTTCCTCCTCTGCTCCTGAAATACTTACTACAGTTAATATAACACCAGGTCTTGGTTGTAATAATTCTTCAATTTCTCTGTGAGAGTGAATCAATTAGATCAGCTTCAGATTTTGTCTATGCCATCTAAATACCTTTACAAACAGTAACAAAACCTGGCTCAATAGGGGCAGGAGGCTGCAACATATAAAAAGAGGACGCCATCAACCAGCTTTGTTGTGTAACCCCCAAAGCATTAAACAAAAGCACAAACAAACTAAAGGAAACAAAGGGGACTGGAGACCCCGGTCAAAAGGACCAACCACACAGTGGGCCGTCACTCCCAGCATCTCCTCCTAAACTATCTAAAACATGAATTAAACCTAAAGAAAACAAAAGAGACAAATAACGTGACTACCGGCAATCTCCAGCCCAAACTAAAACAACAAAACCCCAGCACCTAAACAAGCATGGGGGAAAAGAACCTGCTTGGGGGACAGAAAACGATGGAGGAAGAAAACAACTCCTCAGTACCTGATCGGCTGTCTGTGTGCCATGTGCCATGCCTCTCCTGTCTCTACACTGCCTGTCCCTCTTATCACCTCCTCCTCTCTCTACCTGAGTGCAGATTGCCCTCAGGTGCACAGCAGGCAGAGGGTGGAGGGAGACCAGGCTGACAGAGAGAGAGAGAACAGGCTGCTGCACATCACACCCCCACCCTAAAAACGTGAATGGGGGGAGCGCCACGGACAACATTCACATACAAACAGCTGACTTTGTGACAATGTGTCGGCCAGGACATTCTCTCGGCCTTTGATGTGCCTGACCTCCACACTGACAGACTGTAAACAGTGTTGCTGTGGTGTGGTGTGGTGTGGTGTGGTGTGGCAGCCATTTTGTGTGTTTCCCCATAAAACAGAAAGTTGTTGTAACTTGAGTGTACATCCACCAATCTGCCCCAAATTGCTCGTGCTTGAGTCCTGGCCTGAGGACTTTTACATGCCAAAATAATTGCATCACCTACTGGCCACAGGAAGTAGGCGCAGACCAGCGACATGCAGGGACCCCTGACGTGTGAGAGGGTGCAAGGGCCCGTTCATTGCTGCTTGTAGCTTTAATTTTATTTATTCAATACCTTTGTATTTGTGTTTTTATTTATGTTTTTTGTATGTGTAATGTTGTCTTTTATGATTGCAGCATGGGTTAAAAGCCCAACACAGATCTTTCACTCCGTGGGAGATGTTTATCTTGAATTACACCAAGTGATGTTACTGATAAACTGCAGTGGAAAATATACTTCACTTCCTGAAGTCTGCTACAGTTTTACTAAACACTTTCATGAGGCATGTGTTGGTTTAGATTGGTATGATAGTCTTTCACAATCATGGGGCAAAATAAGGAAACATGTAGTCTTGTGATATACATTAGGCATCGTGTGAATGCAAAAGGTTGTTTGTGTTTTCGTGAAATGTCTCTTGGTTATTTCAGACCATGTCTCAGCATATGGATCAGCTCCAGATCTCTCCATGATCAAAGCCAACCTGACTGAGAGTCTCAACACCAGTTATGACAAGATTTCTTCCCTGACTGAAGAAAGAGACCAGCTGAAAGCCAGAATCACTGAAATGACTGAAGAGTTGAAGAAGTTTGTCCCAAAAGGTTACACCAACCAAATGACCATCATTAGAGGGTCCTTACCTGCTATTGACACAAGTCTTGTTGATCTTTAATGTCTCTTATTTGTATCTTACAGAGAAAACGTGTCCTGCAGGATGGAGGATGTTCAATTGTGCCTGTTATCTTCTCTCTTCTGGGAGTGGTTCCTGGGATGAAGCCAGAAAGGACTGCAGAGGCAGAGGAGCAGATCTGGTGGTGATAGACAGCTCTGCAGAGCAGGTACTGTGTGTGTGTGTGTGTGTGTGTGTGTGTGTGTGTGTGTGTGTGTGTTTGCACGTTACTGACAAATTTGAGGAAGTACTGAAAGTAAACAAGTCGCCATTGCTTTGATGGTGTGTAATCGGAATATGTGCACATTTGAATCAGGCCCACAGGAATGCTGCTCAGCCTTGCTTTCAATTCTAACAACTACTTCCAGTTCAACCCTCCGCTAACTGAATAGAGATATAATCATTTGATCATGCCGCTCTTCTAGACCTCCAAATATTACAGGACCAAATAGATCAAATCCCGATAGTGAAATGAGTCATTTTGTGATGTCACACTGGGCACTTTTTACCTGCCATACTTGCCAGCTTCTCAGCTCATTCAGTAGTTTGCCACTCTCACCACCACACCTACCTGCCAGCCTATCCCCTGTCCACACATTTCCCGCTCCTGCCCGTCCATCGCGCCCACTTCATCAAGACTCTCACCTGTGGATCATTACCTCCTGGCACTATAAGGACTCCCTCGTCACAGACTCTCCTTGCCACATTGTTCTTTTTCCTCACTGCTTTGTTGTAACTGACCCTGCCTGTCCCTCATTCTCCTGTTTCGTCTGCTCCCTGGTAAACCACTCTGCCTTCTGTCCTTGACCAAGAGCTCTGCTTCCGAGCCTGACTGAACCCGAGTTGTTTTTTTTTTTTAAATGGAGGGGGGAATAAAATGATGCTCCCCCTGTGCGCCTCAGCAGTCTGGCTTCCCTGGCTCAAATACAGTGGCCTCTAGTTTCAAAGTCGTCCATTGCAGCTACTATAGTTCGGAGATATCGCGAGGCTAAATAAACAACTGAGTTTTGTTTACAGGCTACGTCTGTGCTTGTGCCTGCTCACCGGTGTA